AGGTCATCAACATAAATATCATCAAGAATAGCCTCACTTGCCCGCGGAGATTGATTAAAATTCTCTTGAGCTAAACTTTGCATGCACTTGATAGCCAAATATGGAGCAGATCTTGTACCGTATGAGATTGTGTTTAATTGGTAAACTGAAAAGGCATCTCCGGGAGCTTCGCGCCATAAAATTTGCTGAAGAGATCGGTGATCTGGATGCATTAATATGCAGCGAAACATTTTTGAAACGTCAGCCGAGACAGCGTATAGATACGTTCTAAATCGCAACATAATATCAGTGATATCATTCTGGACCTTTGGTCCAATAAACTGCAAATCATTTAGTGACCAACCACTAGAACTAGGACAGCTACCGTCAAAAACAGTCCTAAGTCGGGTAGTAATATTGTGATCCTTGAGGACACCATGATGAGGCAGGAAATATGAATTCGACGCACAATTCGACTTTTCCTCTGAAACTCTAGTCATATGTCCCAATTGTTCATACTCATGAATAAAATCGAAATACATCTTTTTAAATTCCAAATCAGAAAACCTTTTTTCTAAGCTGAGGAATCTTTTAATCGCTAACTGCTTGGAGTCTCCCAACATTGTAGGAGAATATTTTAGAGGAAATTTTACTACAAACTGTCCCTGTTTACTTCTAAAAGTATTGTTTTGAAATTGTTTCTCACACTCAAGATCGTCCTTAGAAAGTATAGAGGACACTTTCACCTCTTCTAATTCCCAAAACTTTCTCAGTTGCTCATCTTCCGGAATGTGTACCTTAAGAAGACCGCAAATTGACGCGGTGCAATTCGTGAACACATTACCAGTAACGATATAGCCAAAGTGAGTATTACGAAGTGTAGGAAGATTTTTTCCGAGTTGTATTTTGCCCTCCAACAGTAGATTCCAAAATAGACTAGCTCCAATAAGTAAATCTACTTCTTTGGGTTGATGAAACTCTGGGTCTGCTAATGGGATTTCTGTCGAAATGTTTAATTGATAGATGTCAAAATTCTGAGAGGGAACATTATTTGAAATAATTGGAACAACAAAACATGAAATTGGACACTTGCAGCTTGAGTAATTCGAATGTAACGACAGTGTACAACTTTCTTTAAGCTGCGACACTACTTGATTTATACCAATAATTGAGAGCTTTGATGCTCTGCATGGTATCTTGAGTTTTTCAACAAATTTTTTTGTTACTAAATTGAATTGGGCACCACAATCTAGTAAAGCTCTGCAGGGATGAAACTTGCCTTTGGAATCTTGGACCTTACACATAATAGTTGATAGCAATACTTGGGTAGGATTATTATGTTTTACAAAAATATTTAAATTTTGATGTGGCTCTTGTACACTTAATGGAGTCTGATTAAAATGGAGTAAGGAATTATGTTTTATATTTTTGTTCTCGGATTTGCAAGTCTTACAATATCCATGAGTGCAGCTATTGGCATTGTGACCTGTACGAAGACAGTTTTCACATAGATTTAAGCGCTTGACATGCTCTAGTCTTTGAGTAACAGGTAAATTTAAAAATTCTTGACATTTATAGATAGAGTGGGACTTTCGGCAAAAGTTGCACTTAATTAAATATGAATTAGCCGCTTGAACACGCAAATTTGTTTGTGAATGATTGCCTACTAGATTTCTACTTCTATTGTTGTTTTGACGAACGTCATTATTAGACTTAAAATCGTAGGATTGATCTAGTGATTGCAAGAGATTGACCTTGTTTTTTACAAATTCAATGAACTCATTTATGGTAGGTAGTTCCGAATTGTATTCTAACTCCTTCCAATCTCTAAGGGTGGCTTTATCGAGTTTGCTGGATAGTAAGTGTAGTATTAGAGAGTCATACAAGATGTCTGAACTCAATTGTAACCAGCTGATGGCAGTTAAATGTTTGGTAATCTCGTCTAGCATGTAGCCGAATTGATGGAAATTTTCTTTGTTGGTCGATTGAAGTTTTAACAATTTTTGAAAGTGCGAATCCAAAATAAATTGCTTTTTATCAAACTTGGAACATAAGTTTGTCCATGCTGCCTTGTATGGACAACTCACACCTTCATATCCTTCAACAAATCTACTTGCGTAGCCTTGCAAAGAAGCCTTTAGAAATTGAAACTTCTGAAAATCAGTCAGAGTGGCGTTGCTGTCAACAATTGATATGAAATTCAATTTGAAATTGAGCCAATGCTCAAAGCTTCCCGAAAAGATAGGCAGTTTCAGTTTTGGTAAAATCACATTTTGAAGGGCATCATAACTAGAATTAGGCTGTTGTGTTGATAATTCTTGCGACTGCTTTTCATTAGTTATATATTGAAATAGTTGATTACGCAACTGATAATATTTCTCTTGAAACTCTTCCCTTTCAAGAAATTGACCTTCTAAATCATTGTCTTCACAGCAAGATTCTATTACTGATTGGATCTTATCGAATTCTTCCAATAGTAAACACCCATTTTCATACCTAACTTCTACATCACTTAGGGAAGGCTTTATATCTAGGCCATTCAGAGAAGCTGTAAATTTGCTAAGAATTGTTAATTTATGCTTAACACTACCTCGGTTTCTTGCTAATTTCTTTAAATCTTGATCAATGTCTGATGACTGATTTGCCATTTTTAGTTGTAATATAAATAAGAGACATCTAGACGATTATAATGTGCAATGTAAAGCAACCACGTGCAGCGTATGAGTGACCACGTGCAACTTATGAGTGACCACGTGCAACTTACGACAAAACGTGTAGCTTCTTTAATAGTAAATAGAAATTATCAATCCTAAATAGTATAGATTGACAAAGCGAGCACTTGCAAAAGGCGAAGTAAAACCTCAATTCTCTAAATTTATGCTCTAAATGACAACATGTAATTCACGTAAATTACGAATAAGATGTTGCAATATAGCAACTTGAATTGGGAAGTGGAAAAATAGGATATCTGACCTTTCTCTGGACCTTGCTGGTGATCAGGATACCTCAGATCGTAACTTGATGTGGTACTTGGTGGCGTTCGCGTAAAACGGACAATATGGCTTCCGTATCACTGGTCTCGCAAAATTGAATGATTGTGGTAATTGCTTGTTAAATAGTACTCGGTTCGAAGGACCAAAAATGTTTAAATTGCTGATTCAAAATAGGAATTGATAATGAAGTAGATCGACTTGCTTGTTTGAAGTGTTTAATCGCGAACCTTTTTTGTAATGGCGAACCCACGCTTGTTGTAGCAAGAATCGTGCCTGTCAAGTGTGTCAGTTGCTATGTTGCCAATACGCTCGATTTCTATCCTACGTTGTCACATGACATAATGAGCAAATATTAATTTAACAACATGTGTATGTAATAAAATAAAGCAAGTTTATTTTTTTAAAATGAAAGCATTGTTGGCTGTTTAATTTTTTTCTTAATTTATTTCTGCACTTCTTTACACGGCTGTAGTAAGCCTTCTAGATTATTTAACTTCATGCTTCGTTCCAGGGCAGGATCCAAGCCCAAAACCAAATCCTGCAGTTGATGAGCAGATGACAAACTTTTATTTATTTTATCTAAAGTTAACGACGTGGTTGATTTTCCCATTACGAATTCTTGAGCGGTGTCATCTTCTTCATTTAATTCATTATTGTTTTCCAAAACATCAACAAGTTCCTCTTCTGCGAGTTCATTTTCATTAGCGGCTAAAACTTCTTTAACATCAGTTGACTGAATATCCTGGAAAAACTTCTCCATGTACCTACCCCTCTCTTGCGATTTCCAATACTTTTTTTCTGGAAACGGACAGTGTCCTGTTGTAACATAATTGTCAAAATAAATTTTGTAGCCTTTATTTGGTAAAATCTCCGATTTTTCTAGTAATTTGAGCACTATAACGCCTCCAAGCCCAAATCCTCGTTCATCAGAATTATCTTGAGATTTTCCTGTATACATTTCAAACGACACCAGGTATCCAGAGCTTGTACAAAGGGCCCAGTTTTTAAATCCGAAACGAATGGGTTTTCCTCTGATGTACTGTTTGGCATAGTGTTTGCCGTAGTATGGTATCATACTCTCGCCAATGGAAATATTTTCGTCTAGTCCACCATGTTTTCTGAACCTATCAATGAGGATATCTATTACAGGTCTTAGTTTGTAAAGTTTATCGGAACGGTCAATTTGCATATTATCATTGAAATGTATGTGATGTAATATTGTTTCGAAGCGATTCAATCGCATACTGTAGTTCAATTGTTGTGCACATCTTTGTGCTTTAGTGCGCTGAGGATTATTGATTGGATGATTGCTGATTTATTAATTTTTTATTATTGATTCTTACTAGATTCACACTTTTTTTTCATTGTTACACGCCAAACAACCAGAACAAAAATAAATGACAGGACGCCGAACTGGCACGTTCAGAAATGCGCCAACATCAATATTATTGGTACATCAGATGTAGTGTTCCAGAACATCCTCTTATTCGCGTATTTTGCATAACCAGAAAGTAGCAACGCTCCAAGTATTACACACAAGTCATCTCTGGTGAAATCAAGGTCAGGGTTTTTCTGTTGGGAGTAAATATTCGTCTGGTATAAACTGTAAAAAAAATGTATTGGATTTTCTGCCAAAAGTGCTTTGGCAGATGGCACACGAGGTTCACAAATCGAATTTATGGAAAATGTGTGATTTTGCGCGTGCGAATTTTCTGTTTTTCTTACAGCTTAGTTCAGCTTGTGGAAATAGTTGTGCAAGTGGGATCAAATCATGGGCATCATATTCATCGTCGACTGCATGACTGCGTGGACTCTTATTTCACCTCCTTTGCGCAAAATTTGTCTTGGAAGGTTGTTTATATCACCTTCGTGGTCATCGTCAGACTTGTCGCTGTCCTCATCAGTGTCACCTTCGGTACCTCCTAGAGGTTCAATATCAATATCTAACAGCTCAACTCTATCTGAGTGGTTTTCCAATATATCTACGAGCTGAGAAAATGTTTTAACCGTAAGTGAACCTGAACAAATTAATTATAGTCATTACTTTATCAGCTACACAGCCGAAATAACTTTATTATCTGTTAATCGTAGATAAGCCAATATTTTCCATAGCATATGTCAATATAGTCCCCTTTTTCGTCGTAAAATCGATATTCATTCCTTTTTTGTGTAGCAACTTCTATGACGCGCCCTGTATCAAAGCCAATATTTTTTAAACATGCGCGTCAACTGTCTACCTTGCAGGGGAGGATTCCATTTCGAAATAAATAATAGCGGTGAACCAAAAACGCTCTATTTTATCGTTGAGATACAGTAAACTTTTGCTATTTATCATAAATTAAGCATCACTGTTACTCATGAAGCACCGTAAAAGTGTTAAAACCAGTTTTCAACGAAATTAATTTGTATTTTAAATATGCACCCAAGTTTATTCGAATCATCGGTTTATACTAAATAATTCATAAAAAAACGAATATTGAATGTAAATTGGAAATTCAGTGACTTTAATTAACAACCATCGAAACGCATGTTATCAATAAGATATGCTTGAACTGAAGTATTTTAATTAAGATTACATTTAAAAAGTAGAAAGCGAACCGCTGGCTGAAGATTTGTGAAAGTGGAACGCAATTGTGTTGGACTTAGGTTTAACATTAAATATTTACTGTTTGAAGTGACGCGGTCTCCGTGATTTAATAAGAATATCGAGAAAGATGGACCCGTCTAATAAGTCCAGTCACTTGAACATCATTAAAACGTGGTTATCCAAACAGAATCACTTGCCGCAAAACATAAGTAAGTAGTACTCATATACAGGTTATTTACATGAACTATTAAATAAAGTCAAGGTATTTTTTTATTAAATTCTAAATATTAAGAAACAATAACTTATAACGATACTTTCAAACTCTTTTTTTTTAACTCGATGATATAGATTTACGTTACCGGTCAAACACCAATTCAGGTTAAACTGGGTCATCCGAAGACCGATAGGATGAACTAGTTTGTCTTAGTATAAACTAGATTGTCTTAAATTACGATAAGTTAGTGTTTGTATTAACGTATACTATTTCGTCAAAAGCTGAATTAATTTCTACCCGAACAAACGAATTCATCCTATGGTAAATTACTTCGGACTGTTTTAAGTTGTAGGAGTTGGTCTTGATGCTCCAGAAAGTGGATTTTAGAAGATCGCAGCATTTCTATTTTTATGAAATTTATGAGCTAGTCATATTTTAAATCAAATATTAACATTTCAGAAACATATTTGATATCTGCAAACAGAACCATACAGTATATATACAGTATTTAATAGCTCGCAGCTTCCTAATAGACAAGTGCAAATATTTTTTTTCAGAAAAACGTATATTATAAGTCAAGGGCCCGGTGGAAAATGTTGTTGAGGCTCCAACTTGTAGAAAAATAATGGCACGAAATACTGGAAGTGGTGAAAAGGGGTGGTAGTTAAGGGGTTGAAATAGCTTTTGCAAATTGCTGCGCGAAACGTGACCTAACGAAAAACGTCATTATTACAATTAATAATTTTTCAGTATTTATTTATTTATTTATTATTCAATTTTTTTTCGCGCATAAATGATTCAATTTACATGAATATCTGTAAAAGCATGTCTTTTTTCTTAAAGTTAAAGTTTTCATTTCCGCCTGATCTTTGGCTGTTATTTATTTTTTTACTATCTGAAATTCATATCGGTTAGTGCCTATAAATAATTTATTAGGTTGGATTTCGGCTTTTTGCAAGGCGAAAGCAATTTAAAACATATTTTTCTTTATCCAGAGTTTCTAAGCTCACTTATCCAATGACGTGAAATGATGTTCACATTTTTTTACGGCATTTCACATTTTTTTACGGCGTTTTACAATTTTGCGCAGAAACAACTGTTTTTAACAACTTGCTTTGATTAGCTCGAGAGTTCAGTGAAAGTCCTTTGTTAATTTAAATGAGAAATATCAGATTATAAATTTGATTTTGAGTATATCGAATCTTTAAGGCAAAGTGAAATGTCCATTTCACAAAGTTTTTTTTTCACTTAGAGTTCTAAACAAAATTATATGTGTTAGGTTATTTATGAAAAAGTGTAATTCATAGTTGCTTAATTTACGTTTTGCAAAACACTGCTCTGATAATATCTAGTTGGGCCACGCAGTCATCAAATAACAAAATGCACAGAAGAGGCGTCCATTATAACGAATTGATTTGTTATTGATGTTATTTCCAATGATCAATTTTTTCGAAAAAATTATGTAATTTGGTTATAACTGGAAATCCAACTAAGGTATCAAAACGTGCATTTAACCCAAATGAAGTCAATTTGATGCCTTTACAAATAAGTTCAAAGCAATTATACAGTTACATTAAGTTTTTATGGAAACCCTCTACAAAAGAAGGAATGAATTAGAAATCCTCGCCGAACTGAATCGACACAACATGGAATAATTTGAATTATTTTTTTCGTGTTAGCAATTATGTTCTCTACCCATTTACACATAAAATATATTTAAACTCCAAAACCAGTGCTTTTGGAGTACTTTTGGACCTCCAACACTGAGGAGCATATTGTTTTCAGCTCAGATTTCAAATTCATTTCCACGATGGAAATATTTAATTAAAAAAATGAGTAGTTTAAATATGGTTATAGTAGCAAATCTGTTAAAATCTACCTTTTGATACATCTGGAGCAACCCTTGTAACTTTGATCAACGCATTTTAGGCTAGAACACCCAGTATATTCTGAAATCGGGTTTGGTTGGAAACATCTGTAAACATTGTTTCTAAATTATACTGTTTAAAACTTGTGTAAGTTAACCTGTAGAGTGATATATTTTTAGGTGAAGTGTTATTAAATAGATTTCTACACACCTGCAACTATAGCATAGAACAAACGAAAAACTTGATCGAACTTTTCTATACGTTGAGGTCTCAAGCCCCGGAAATTTTTAGTGACAGGGATCCCGCATCGCCAGAAATATTGGAAATTTTTGAAAATTTGTAAGTTTATTGTAATTTTACTATCAGCCAGTACCTGAATGAAACGTACCAGTATGAAATAGAACAGAGACAAAAACATGTTAATTATCACCAATCTTTCTCGATAAGTTTTGGGAAATCCTTTCTTACGCACCATCCAGAGCTGGTGTTTCGCGCTCTCGGTTGGGTGGGACTCCTGCCTCGCTGTTTACCCACTAAGGCCCAAATGTACAATTGCGGTATACATATACCAGGAACAAGCTCTTCTCAGTATATCTTTGTAAAATGGCGGTATAACTTATACCAGTGAAATGAGCCGGATATACTGTAAATAAAGATGTTCCTTTGTTTTATTGGTCAATGAGTGACAGCTTCTTATTTCATAAGCTACACTTTCTTCATATATGGACAACTTTGTCGTACATTTTTAAGAAATTGTGATTTACTACGATGGCGGGAATAAATATGTCTGTATTTGATTCTGATGAAGACGATATATTTGGTAACATGTTGACAGTAACACCTCGGAGACCTAAGGTTTTGAAAAATCGGCAAGTGAATACCAATACCTTGGACTATATTTGTTGGTTAACATTGATAAAAATTATACTTGTTTTAGACCCAATTACTTTATAGAATACACCGGTCTAGAGTTTTTTACTCGGTTTAGAATGCAAATGCAAACCTGTGAGACACTGTTGCATTTGATTATGAATTATCTCAAGTCTCAGACAGAACGGAATAGAGCTATTTCACCAGCAAGTAAATTCCTTCTGAGTTTAAGATTTTATGCCACTCGAAATATGCTCATATCAGTTGGAGTTTTGTAGGAGTAAGCAAAATATTTGCCTGTACAATTGCGAGACAAGTTTCAGAGACTACTGCTCGGTTGCGTCCGAGGAATATGAGATTTCCCGAAAATATTGCCACAAAATCAAAAGTGAAAGAAAACTTCTATAGAGTTCCCAGATTTCCATTGATCGATTGACTGCACGCATGTGAAAATCCAGTCTCCAGTCCTCAGTAAAAAACTCTGAGCGCTTCCTTAATAGCAAAGGATACTTTTCATGGAATGTTCAGACAATTTGCGATTCACAATTGCAAATAATTGTCTTTGTCATGTCATCAATCAATGTCTTACGGTGTGTGGAAAATAAATTTTTCCATATTGTCGTTAGGAATGCGAGTAAACGCCGAGTTATCAAAGATAATTATTGGTGCTACAGCCGTTCTGTATGACATTTGCATTGAAGAGAAGGATGGAGGGGATTGGGATCCACCAATTGAATTGGATTTCAAAAATGTTGGCGCAGATGAGTTACCTTCAACGACAACCGATTGAAATATTTGTATCAATAATAGAATGACGACAAAAATTATATATAATCACTTGGGGTAACAAAAGCTATAACAGAAAACTATATGTTAATTGAAATTTAAGTTAAACCTACAATGTCGTAAAACAACACTTACCAGAATCCGAATCAAATTCAGATTCAGTACCCTCAGCAGAGACACCAACTAAATTCAGCACTCTTTTTCCTAAACTTGCTAATCAGAAAGCTATTATTGAGTATGTCATCGGCCTGACGGCTAATGTGACTCATCCGGGAGAACAAGTTCCCCCTTCAGCAGATCATCATTTTGCCGCCTCGTCACCGTGCAGCGTAAGAATGGAATTGATGTTATCCTCCACCGGATTTAAAGTAAGCTATGCCCGACTGCCAGATGCTTAGC